TTCATAACAAGGTCAATTAAGTCCTTCTATAGGAGGTTCTGTCCGGCCGTCGCGATTTGGGGCAGTTCCTGGTGGAATTTTTTAATGAATTTTTTTGAGCATCTTATTCACCAAGTCTATGTTTACTCATACTAAATTTCAGCTAAAAATTCAATCGGGAGCGCATTCAAATTAATTCTTGAAGATAACCGCGCATTTTTGCGTTCTCGAATTAATTTGAATGCGCTCCCGATTAAATTTTTAGCTGAAATTCGGTATGAGTAAACTAGACTTGATGAATAAGATGCTCAAAAATTTTCATCAAAAAATTCGACCGAGAACCGCCCCAAATCGCGATGAGCGGACATAGTCTCCTATAGAAAGACTTAATTGACTTTTTTATGAAAGTTCGAGGACCTATTTGACAGTTTTCCCTTTCACTTTTAATAATTTTCTTTTGCATATTGACATCACTAACGTGATAAAATAGACCAGACGACATGACTGAAGTCGTCAGGTAATAAATGTGATGAGACGATTGAAATCGTCTGACGATAGACAGGTTCTCACGATAGATATTTAGTTTCATATACGTATTCTCAATTGATTACTTTCATTTATCCACAAACGATCACTAACTTAAGCATCGGAGGGCCGTTGGCTTTTAGCCAACGGCCGACGTTAGCAAAATATTTATTGCACAGGTACAATCAAGAATTGACGATGACAGAATCCTAACATGCGAAGCCTTACAATACGTCAAAACACAATTGACGGGGGGCTTACATCAAGCAAAGCCTTACAACACGTCAAGACACAATTGACGGGGGGCTTACAGAATTTTAGGGGAAGAAGTGGGGTTTTCATGTACGCTAAACATGAGTATAAACTCCACCGATTATCCACAATGTTTTGGCCAAAACAACAGACAAATCATACATCACAAGTGCTGACAACTCAAGGTCAGACAAACACAAAACAACAACAGTATACGTACAAGTGACATCATCACGAGGAACAACAACCACATCCAAAACTACAGAAATACACAACAGAAGCATGTGCTCCGAGAGCACGACAACACAAGCTCCAAAATATAAGGAGACAACGTGAACGACATTGACATACATCATAAATATTCATGCCGACGATATTACTAAAACAACAAACGATGCGGTGCTTAATATTTTTGCAGGTTACGGTCACACTCACAGAGTCAAACCCATCATTTATACAATGAGGAACAAAATCATAATTTCCAACAAAAGTGTCGACATCAACCTGAACGAAGGTTGACGACATGTCTCACCAGACACATGACGAGTTGGCAAAAGCGTCTTATTATACGAATGACAGGTTGACAGCATGTATCATCATGCAAACGACGAGTTTATATGAGCTGTATTCAAGGATGACATGTATGGATGTTTTCAAGATTTCGACAAGTTGACGCTTGACGGGTTGACATGTGTGCCCATACGCCTCAACTTCTCGAAAGGCGGCAATTGTTGGGCCCGAAAAATATTTTTTCAAGCAAGTTAAACGGGCTGAACATTAAAAGAGCCAAAACCCATTATCAGTTAATTCAAATACGAGATCAAGTCAAAGAAGAAGTCTAAGGAAAGAACCGAGTAATTCAAGGTGGAGGAAAAATAGGAAACAGCCGCTAAACTTGGGGAAAAAGCTCCTGCTTATTCGGATAGTGAAAACGGCCACCAAGGGATCAGTTACAATAGATAGCTATATCTCTTAGTCAATATATATACATGAGAAGAGTATTCACAAGGGGGGAGGATCAACGGAGATCACATACACATTCAAATTCGGTTGTTCTATAAACATAATACTCAAGCATATTATTCCTTATTAATCGACTACGTATTGCCTTTATCAAATTCATCCATATTTGATTCTTTATTGCTTGATTCCCAACTCAATTTCATTTTAGGATAGTTTATTTATGGTTAAAACAGTATTGCTTCGTATAAGTTGCAGGGCGTGTTTGACATTTAGCGGTTAGCGATTAGTGGATTATGTTAGCGGTTTTTAATAACGAGTCTGACTACTTGAAAAATATGGCACGGTTGTAATAAGATGTTTGATTATTTAGCTATTTGGTCATAATAATTAGTAGAAAATGTTAATATTTCAAAATGTTAATTTAATCCAAAACGTTGCTATTTGCAACGAAACATTTCCACGATTTTGTCCAAAACTATTTACCAAACACCGTTTTCACTTATTGGAAACACTAAACTGGATCAAACGGCCATTTTTGGCTGAAACGCCATTTTCGAAATAGTCTTTTAAGTTTTAAAATGTTAGCTTTAACAATCATACATTTAATTTTAGTATTTGATTATTGTTGAAATATAATTGAATTAGTCATCTTCCAACTATTCCTGATTAGGAATTATTATCACCATTACATAAATAATCAGGAAATCATAATTATGATTCTAGATGATAATTGTGTGGTTCACAATTATCCTCTAATCCTATGAAGCTTAACTTTTCTCCTATAAATAGGAGGCTTCTCCATTGTAATTAACACACCATGGTTACACCATTATCACACTCTCAATAATATAATCTATCACTAAGTGTTCATACTATATTTCTCTCCCTGATCTTCTGCTTATTTCCTTCCATATTATAACACGTTATCAGCACGAATTTGCTCCAAATCTTCAAAATCATCATCTTCCCAGCAGGTATATACTTTCTGGAATTTATCAATTCATCTGAAAAGAAAATCACATGTTGAGAAGTATGAACATGTTTGAATATATTCAAAACTATAAGAAGTATGCTCTATGGTTGCCCAATTATTGGGATCCTCCATATCAGAAAAATTATAGCTATATTTTCTCTTATGAAAATATCTTTAAAATATGAAATATGAAGAAGGAAAAGGATAAACTAGCATACCTTTAATCACTATTATCTTTAAATATATTGATCTTACATCTGAATTTTTACTTCCGGGTGAATTTACATCACTGATTCACACTTATATATGTATATATGAGTATATATGAATATATATACTTCATATGCGAAAATAAGATGTTTAGGAGGTAGTATTATTTATTGGATTAATGAAGAAATAAAACTTATTACCTTGTAAAATACGGAGTTCGAACTGGTGAAGTATCTAATTTTTTTTCTCCAACTCCTTTCTCCTTACCATCTCATGTCCGAACTGGTGAAGTATCTATTTTTTTTTCAACTCCTTGCTCCTTACTATCTCATGTCTCAGAAATTCTAAACTACAAAGAAGAAGATGAGAGATATAATTTAGAAATAAAATATGAACGAATTTAAGACATTTGCCTAGAACATATATATATACTCCGTATTCAAAACCTCATCAACTAAATCATTGATGTATGTAATAAAGAGATAAGTCAGACCGATGGGCCAACTATTTCACATGGGTGTACTAACACCACCACATGTTTTTGTCATGATATTATGAGTTGGGTTGACATAACAAATTAAAATTAAAACTAGCAAATTAAATGTCCAGGCTTCGTATAAATTGCATATACGGTCATACGGAGTATTTGCTAATTAAGGGTGAAATAAACAAACTAGACATATATAAACGTTCTTATGTAAATGGCCAGACACCCATACGAAGCACTGACAATTTTCTGAAGTCATGGGGTTGATTGTTTTTACTACTACCCGATACGTACCTTGACATATATGGCTCACGGGTCTCTCAACTTACTACTCCGTATTTGTTTGTATTTAACTACTATAGTACATTTTACTGATTATCAAAATGAAATCAATTGATAAATAATATGGAGTACTACGTAGTATACGGAGAATAAATTAATCTATTCATAGCTAATAAATAATTAAATTTAATAATAAGTGTACGACTAAACTGAAATGGGACTAAATTTGAATGGTCATATAATATGAAGTATATTAGAATATGAAGACATTGTCCAGATAAAGATGAATAGCTTAGATATTTTTAAAGGATATCAAATATTTTCAATGAATATAGCTCAAAGTCAAAACTAGAATTTATGGAACTAGAGTAGTACGTAGTATCTTTTACGGAGTATAATACTATTTGATTATGGAATTGGAACCTAAATTATTTTCATTTAAGAATACAAGTTTATTCTATGTCTCTGATGATTCTCAATATGTGTACGTATACACAAACGTACCTCCTACGTGCCCTCTAATTAATAAGATATGTTCATGAATAAACTACATACGTAGTAGTATAACTAATACGTATTATCCTCGTATTTTGAATAACAAACACATTAGTTTGGAATAATATTGAACCTGCTTTGATGACTTACTCAAACTAGCCGTACTACCGTAGTAGTAATAATTATATTATACGGAGTACTAAATTGAGTTATCAGTTTATATAATACGGAGTACGTACTACTTAGCATATATGTATATGTACTGACTACTCAGAACTAAGCAATCAGCGATTTTGGACTTGTCATCACATTATGGACGTTTATTATTACTTCCTTATTTGACTTTCATTGACGTAAAGTGAATCCAAAAACAACATGGTTATTCCCATCTCTTTAAATGTCTTTATTTATGAACGGACATATAATTAAGTTTTGTACTTAATGAACCTTTGCTTACCGAGTTACATGATCTCTGATTGTTAAGATGGGCCCCTTAACAATTGGTATGACAGTAACTTGAACTAAAACGGTCATTATGTACGTTTATGTCAATTGCCGGAAATAACCCCTCATAACGGCACTCATGATTGTTTTTAATCTCAAATGATGAAGTAGAAATTAATAAGAAGTAAATGTGAGCTAAATTACTTCTCTTATTAAAAGTCAGAATAAAGTACTTCTCTTTGTTATGTAATATATGGAGTATGTTTGGACTAATATTTATGCACAATTAAATGTATTGTTAAGTGAAGTACAATTTATATTACAATATTGAATTAATATTTGTTTATTTTTATCTTTGCGAAGATATGGAGTTAACTAAAATTTCTCCAAGTGGCTCTGAACAATGTCTAATAGACAGTGCCACAACGCACACCATTTTGAGACATAGAGATTATTTTTCTCATATGACATTAGTTGATGCTAATGTCAATACAATCTCAGGTGTTGCTAAACTCATTGAAGGTTCTGGAATAGCCTGTGTGATTCTCCCAAAAGGGACAAAATTAATAATTAAAGACGCTTTATACTCCAGTAAATCACGGAGAAATCTTTTGAGCTTTAAAGATTTGCGTCTAAATGGTTTTCATATTGAAACCATGTCTGAAAATCAGAAGGAATATTTATGTCTAACGACAAATAGATCTGGCAATAAATACATTTCTGAAAAAATGCCAGCATATTCCTCGGGACTGTATTATACATATATCAGTCCAATTGAGATAAATGTGGTATCTAAAATTTATGACCACAATTCCTTTATCTTGTGGCATGACCGTTTAGGTCATCCAGGCAGCACTATGATGCACAAAATTATTGAAAATTCACGTGGACATTCATTAACTAATGTCAAGATTCCACAATCAAGTGATTTTCCGTGCACTGCCTGTTCTCTTGGCAAATTAATTATCAGGCCATCTTTATACAAAATTGGAGTTGAATCTCCTGCATTTTTAGAAAGAATTCAAGGAGATATTTGTGGGCCAATTACCCCTCCGTGTGGACCGTTTCGATATTTTATGGTGCTCATTGATGCATCAACACGTTGGTCACATGTCAGTCTTTTATCGACTAGAAATTTTGCATTTGCAAATCTCCTTGCTCAAATTATTCGTTTGAGATCACAATTTCCGGATTATTCGATAAAGAAAATCCGACTTGATAATGCAGGAGAATTTACATCCCAATCTTTTAATGACTATTGCATGTCAATTGGGATTGATGTGGAACATCCAGTTCCACATGTACATACACAAAATGGTCTTGCTGAATCCTTAATTAAGCGATTACAATTAATTGCTAGACCATTATTGATGAAATCCAGATTACCATCATCTGCATGGGGATATGCTATAATGCATGCTGCAAATTTAATTCGGCTTAGGCCAACGACATATCATAAATTTTCCCCATTACAATTAATATCTGGTAAAGAACCAAATATATCACACCTAAAAATATTTGGTTGTTCTGTGTATGTACCAATTGCTCCACCTTAGAGTACTAAAATGGGTCCTCAAAGAAGGCTGGGAATTTATGTTGGTTTTAAATCACCCTCAATTATTAATTATCTAGAACCTATGACCGGTGACTTATTCACCGCGCGGTTCGATGACTGTCATTTTGATGAGACAGTATTCCCAGCCTTAGGGGGAGATATTAAAGAAATGGACCCACGTACGAAAGATATTACTTGGAATGCAACAAATTTATCTTTTCTTGATTCTCGCACAAATGCTTGTGAACAAGAAATTCAAAAGATTATTCATTTACAAAATGTTGCAAACCAATTGCCTGATGCTTTCACAGACTCAAAGAAAGTAACAAAGTCACATGTTCCAGCTATGAATGCTCCTTCTCGAATAGAAATTCCTGCGGAGATTAGCGAAAGAACACTTGCTAATGAATCTATGATACGTAAAAAACGTGGTAGACCACTTGGTTCAAGAGATTTGAAACCAAGAAAATTTAAACAGCAAGTTGTAGTTTGTGATGCCAAAGAAGTTCAACCTTCTCAAGAAGAAAATGAACATTTTGAAAATATCGGCCTTGAAGATAACATCAATAATAATGATACCTCAAAAGAGGATCCAATCACCTTCGAAGAGGTAAATATTCCAGATAAAGATAGAAACGTCGATAATTTTGAAATTTCAATTAATTACGTTTCTAATGGAATACAATGGAATAGAAATGATATTGATGTTAATGATATATTTTCATATGCCATCGCCACAGATATAATGAATGAACACGATGACAATGAGCCTAAATCTATTGACGAATGTCGTCGTAGAAATGATTGGCCAAAATGGAATGAAGCAATTCAGGTAGAATTAAAATCGCTAGAAAAGCGTAATGTTTTTGGACCAATTGTCCATACGCCAAAAGGCGTAAAACCTGTCGGTTTTAAATGGGTTTTTGTGCGTAAACGCAACGAGAAAAATGAAATCGTTAGATACAAAGCCCGACTTGTTGCCCAAGGTTTTTCTCAAATGCCAGGAATCGATTATGATGAGACGTATTCTCCAGTAGTTGATGCTACAACTTTAAGATATTTAATTGGCATGTCTGTTTTTGAAAGGCTGCAAATGCGCCTCATGGATGTGGTGACCGCATATTTATACGGTTCACTCGATACAGACATATATATGAGAATTCCTGGAGGCTTTAAAATACCTGATGCTTATAGCTCGAAATCTCGAGATTTATTTTCCATAAAATTGCAAAAGTCATTATATGGATTAAAACAATCTGGACGCATGTGGTATAACCGTCTCAGTGAATATTTGATTAAAGAAGGGTATAAAAATGATCCTATTAGTCCATGTGTTTTCATTCAACGATCCGAATCAGGATTCGCCATAATTGCAGTATATGTTGATGATTTGAATATAATCGGAACTCCTAATGAAATTGAAAATACTGCAAAATATCTCATGAAAGAATTTGAAATGAAAGACCTTGGGAGAACAAAATTTTGTCTCGGCATTCAAATTGAACATTTGAGAAATGGTATTTTCATCCACCAATCAAATTATACCGAGAAACTTTTGAAGCGATTTTACATGGATAAAGCACATCCACTCAATTCTCCAATGGTGGTTCGATCTCTCAATGTGCATGATGATCCTTTCCGACCTTGTGAAGATGATGAAGAAATCCTTGGTCCCGAAATACCATATTTGAGTGCTATTGGAGCATTAATGTATTTGGCTAATAATACTCGACCAGATATTGCTTTTTCTGTAAATTTATTAGCGAGGTACAATTCTTCCCCAACAAGAAGGCATTGGAATGGTGTCAAACATATATTCCGATATCTCAATGGTACAATCGATCTTGTATTGTATTTCAAGAATGGTGCAAATGCCACTTTAATTGGCTACGCGGATGCAGGATACTTGTCTGATCCACAAAAGGCAAAATCACAAACAGGATATTTATTCACCTATGGTGATACCGCTATATCATGGAGATCAATGAAGCAAACATTAACTGCAACATCATCAAATCATGCAGAATTAATTGCTCTTTATGAAGCAGGTCGTGAGTGTGTCTGGTTGAGATCAATGATCCAGCACATACAAAATGAATGCGGTATAAAATCTTTTACTTCTAATCCTACTGTGATTTATGAAGATAATACAGCATGTATAGCTCAGATCAAAGGAGGTTACATCAAAGGGGACAGAACAAAGCATATAGCACCAAAACTTTTCTCCACACATGATCTTGAGAAAGACGGAACGGTTGATGTCAAACAAATCAAGTCATGCGACAACCCTGCTGATTTGTTCACAAAGTCATTGGCACCGAAGAAATTTGAAGAACTGGTCCATAAAATTGGAATGTATCGTCTTCGAGATATATGTTAAATTGAGGGGGAGTAATATAATGCACTGCACTCTTTTTCCCTTCGTCAAGTTTTTATCCCACTAGGTTTTTCTTGACAAAGGTTTTTAACGAGACAGTACATTATAATACTATGAATCTAATACCCCAGAATAATTAGAAGATGACCATTCAAGGGGGAGTGTTGAAATATAATTGAATTAGTCATCTTCCAACTATTCCTGATTAGGAATTATTATCACCATTACATAAATAATCAGGAAATCATAATTATGATTCTAGATGATAATTGTGTGGTTCACAATTATCCTCTAATCCTATGAAGCTTAATTTTTCTCCTATAAATAGGAGGCTTCTCCATTGTAATTAACACACCATGGTTACACCATTATCACACTCTCAATAATATAATCTATCACTAAGTGTTCATACTATATTTCTCTCCCTGATCTTCTGCTTATTTCCTTCCATATTATAACAATTATTGTATATTTTACTCCCTATATTTTAATTATGCAAAAACACAGTCTCAATGAGAAATATTTCCCTAGTCTTATCTTCTTTTATCCATCATATCCACCATTCGTAACACAAACTCAAAGCATAGAGCAGAAACAGAGGAGCCCGAGAAGATCAGAAATTCTAATGATGGCGTCCTATTTTCCCATTCAGAATCCGTGCTTTAAGTCTTTTGGTTTCTTTGACTTCCGCTTCAACAACGTTTCTTCTCGTTCGTGCAACAGTCTCCTAATGCCCAGGTAATACTTATTCTTCAAATGTACTAGTTTATCTATGTGCAAGGTTTTTTTTTTGTACAAATGTGGAAAAACTATTAAGCTGTTTAAATCAAATTATGAACTTTCATGATCGCGCAATTGATTTTAGGTATTTTTTTAAATGAGTAGGCGTAAGAATGCAGATTATATACGGAGTACCTTATATTTTTGTCTGTGTAATTATAGGTATTCATGGAGGCGCTTTGAAAGTAAATATGATGGATGGTGTGAGACTTTCTTCTTTATGGTATTTATTGAAGTTCTTGGTTTGGGCTTTTATACTCTTGTTTCTATTGCTTTACCAATTTTCTGCATTTTCTTTCTGTTCTGGTTTTGCAAAAACCTGCATATTTGGTTTTCTTAGTTCTATTACATATCACATGAAACACAGAAGTACTAGAACCAAGCAAGTTTCTTTGACCCTTTACACTATTATGTTTCTGGTTGAGCCGTTGAGGCCTTGAAGGATTACATGATATGGGGAGTTAGAACATGTTCTCTTCAAATTATTCCATTGCTAGATTAGACCAAAAGAGACTGGACCCTCGGCCCATAATATTAGACTTTAAACCCGAACATACCACAACAACATCCAAGCTTTATTCCCAAAAGAATTTGGGGTCAGCTATAATCCCGAACATACCAGACTAGGAAAATTTATTCGAAGATAAAAAAAGACCTTATTTATGCTGACTTTTGATTATAAAATCCAAACAAATGAGAGACATGTTTGCTCTTTACGTGGTGTTCTTCTTATAATTGCAAGTTGATGTCTCCCAAGGTTCATATTTTAATCTTTTTTTTTGTACAGGGTGGTATGACCAATAAGAGCAATTGTTGCTGCACTGCAAGATTGCCTATTGATGGAGAAGATAGCAATCTTGCAAGGAAATCCGCGTTATTCTATAGACCTAGGGAAAATGAAATGGATTTCTCTTTTGAAGGTTTAGACATCAGACTTGATAACTGTCTTAAATTGGTGTCGATGTCTGGGATTGTGACTCTCCTTGGTACGCAAGAAGCAATTGCTGCTTCTGATATTGCTATGAAATTACCAGTAACATCCATCTTTGGAGATCTTGGAGATATAAGCACAGGTTTTGCTTCAGTTAGGAAAATCTCTTGATAACCTCTTGTTTAGAATCTTGTTGCTCATATAAGAACTTCACTTCTCTTACCTTTTTACCTTTTTACCCCTCCATGGGCCTTATAACACTTCACCTACTTAATAAATTGAAAAAAGTCATGTGTTCAGTGTTTGGAGGAATCATATAATTCTACTCAAGAGGCATATTCAGCCATGAATAGCATTACTTTTAGTTTTAGAACCCTTGTCACTATTTTTCTTTTGCTACCTTTATGTGTCTTTTTCTCTAGCTCTGGCGTTTTTGTGTTGTTCTTAATCACTTAAAAACCTTGTCTATTTTATTACAGGCATTCTTGTTGATATTCTTCTCAGAGCTCGGTGACAAAACCTTCTTTATTGCAGTATGGGGTTCTTCTCTATTAATTATTAGTCAGTTTTATTATCCTAGCAGATATTCAGTGTTATAAACTAATTTCTGGTTTCCAAAATATAATTGCAGGCTCTTCTGGCTGCTCGAAACTCTCCCGTAGTCACATTTTTGGGGACATTTGGTGCACTAACGTAAGTAATTTGCTTCTTCAGCTGAGATGGCATCAAACCGAAGTACTCAACTATTTTTTAAGAATATCATCTCAGGGTAATGACGATCATTTCTGCGGTCATTGGGCGTACATTTCACTATGTGGATGGTATCCTTCCATTCAGGTAAATCATACATTTCTATATGAAATTGCAAAAAATTAGTCTATGTTTGGGAAGGTAGTTTGGAGGGGAGGGGTTATTTTTATCATTTAAAGATAATATTACTTTAACTTTATATTTTTTCAAATTGAACATAGAAAATGATATATTAGTATAGAATCAATGTGTTAATCATTTATTTTACCGTAAAAGTGTAAACAATGCACAATTTGGTTAGATGAAAATTTATCACAACTCCCACCTCATGGAGCTCTATTTCCAGTTCCTAAACACACCTTGATACGGTGAGAGTCAACCGTCAACTATCTGATAAATAGATGATTGGAGACACTCTTTGTAGAACCATTCTCTTGTCTTTGAATCTTGCAGTCTTGCTGAGGCATTTAGTAAATAGAAACCTTAGATGGAGAAACTTCTGGAAGAACACACAGAGCCACATATTTGTGTAATTTGTACTTCACAGTATATGAGTTACCATATATAGTAATTGTATGCGCCTTTACTCAATGTAGCCTTTGATAGCTATGGTGATATGTATCACATCTCTATTCCAACGCTTTGCCTATAGATAACTACTTGGGGACAATAAGAACAATAAAATAAATAAATAAATAAATAAAGAAGTACACTTGGCTAAAAGTCTAAAAGTAGTAGTATTAAGTATTTACATGCAAAGCTAGCCTGCTGAACTCAAATATTCATCGGATACAACTATTGATCATCCGACTAGTTTTTAAATCTCGTAGCTTTTCTGTAGACACAGTGATGTATAGTTGTCTAAGAAACAATCAAGTATCTCTTGGGGATCAAACCTAAGAAAGCATCATGAATGCAGGCTTGGTGGCACTGAATTGCCTATTGATGATATTGCTGCAGTTATCCTTCTGGTAAGTAAGTCATCATGCAAGCTTGCACTATGGAAACACTGGCATATGAAATATACTATTTATGATATGTCTGTCTACTTCCAGCTGTATTTTGGTGTTTCGACCTTGCTTGATGCCTCTCGGAATGGAGTGAAAGCTGAAGAACAGGAGGTAAAACTTTACACTAATCTGATTAAAATGTTTCCTTATACTTGTAACTGCTAAGAGTTTTTTTACTTTTAATCCTCTAGACGGTTGCGGCTATGACTTTTGGTAAGCATTTTTTGAAAATTTCCACTTCCAATCCTCCAAGTATTGTACAGTGACTTTTGATGCCTGTTTTTAAATTCTCCACTTTTAGTCCTCTCATAATTGTCAGAGCGATACTTTTGCTACTCTTCTTTAAATTTGCCACTACAGTTGATGGACTAATATCACTGTCACAACAGTTTGAAACCAAAGTGTCGCTACAGTGGTCAATGCTTGCCTGTTACGACAATGGGGCGCTCTCATTATTTTCCATCTGATTCCTAAGAAAAAACTTCTATAGGACCAAAAGTGGTAGAATTAAAAAAAGTTAAGTAGTTAACAAAAAGTTTCTAAAGCGACAAGATTGGAAAACGATTTAACAACTGCCAAAATCTCATTCCGAAAATTGTCAGAGGACTTGAAAGGTAACAAAATATGAAAATATAATCTCCCGTCCCATCTTTATCTCCTCTTTTGACTGGGTACGGGGATTATGAAACTGGAAATAGTGTCCAAAAGTTTTGTAGAGGAGAGCGAAATAATATGAATCACATATTCTTTGTCATTAAAGGAAAAAGGAGTTTATATTGGGACAGGCGAAAAAGGAAAGAATGAAATCTATTTTGGGATAAAGGAGTAACTGCTAATACAGTTCCTTCATTACTACAGGCAGAGCTGGCAGTTTCAGAGCTGTCGGGAAATGGTGCAGAAATATCTGCTGCTGCTACTAGCGCTGTTATTAGCACATTTGTTTTAGTTTTTGTTGCTGAATGGGGTGACAAATCATTTTTCTCTACAATAGGTGCGTTATGAACAACTCTGTATATTAAAAACAACAACTTATCACTGTCAAAATTCAAAAAACTGTCTTTGGAAAGATGTTTTCTTACTTTTCTATGTGCAGTGTAGTGTGTATGTTGACTCTGTTCCGCCATATTAGTTAATTTATCCTGAAGGTGGTGTTGATGTTCTTTCAGAACTGAATCAACTGTGTTTAATCATATATTATGAATTCAAAAAACTGTCATACACAATGTATGCACGGATTAATCGCATTCTTTGAACAATATGTTGGGAAACGATATCTACTTGAGCAGCACAAAGTTTTTTAGGTAGGTCCAGACGTCCAGTATATCAGTATAAAAATTACATAAATCAAGTAATCAACATCTAAAGGGTTACTCAACATAGTAGAATTGTATAATTTATAAATTAATTGTAGGTTTCTATATTTTGTTTCCTTCTAATACAATTCCAATATTTCAGCTCTAGCTGCAGCCTCTTCACCTCTTGGAGTAATTGCCGGTTCCCTTGCTGGCCATGGAGTGGCAACGCTGGTAAGTTAATCAAGTGTTGTCTATTGTAATTTTCATGGTTCTAAAAATCGGCCTAGGCACCCTGATTTCGTTCTAATCGGTAGAAAAAATCGTATCCGGACCTAGGCGGGTGCCTAGTCGGCTAGGCGGTGGCTAGGCGGCCTGGACTAAATTTTTTCCCTAACCAACTTTTTTTTTTTTTCAATTTTATCTTGAAACACCGTGTGATCAAGAAGTATTCTGTTCCTATATAATTTATTTTCATATTCCCACAATAAAATATAAATTTTAAATATAAATAAACTTTGTAGAATGTATTTTAAGATTTTTAGAGAGTAAAAATACAAATATCTTAATTTATTTATTCATTATTTTATTATTGATGATTTTACTATAAAAAACTTAACATTTAATGATTATATGAGCTATTTCTATTGTCAAAAATTTTCAAATTTATTAGTTGAAAATTACTTGTTGCGGATAAACGTAATATATTACTTGTTGCGGATAAACTTGTAAAAGTAGTTGCGCGGCAACGTGGAAATATTAAATATAATAATATAAAATAATGAGTATATACTCCACCATCTTTAAGCTTAACTTTGTAGTTCATATGTTATATGTGTTAGATCCAATTCATATTGTATATTTTCCAAATTTATTGTTGGTGTTTGGATTTTTTTTGAAATCTTTATATTTGTGGGTACATTATTATGTCTACTAAGACAATAAATTGTGCAGCTTGCTGTTCTAGGCGGTTCCTTACTGGGGACATTCTTATCTGAGAAGGTTAGATTCCTATACCTCGGGCACACCAATAAGTATAACATCCATATGTTGTTAGGATAGGTTTCATTATAAGGAAATAAAACTTATAGGTCTTAAAAAACAGTAAAAGTTCCACAAAAATTATTAGTGATGTCAATTAGAACATGTAAAATTTGGCAGAGGGAGTGATATTTTTAGGTAATTATAAAATCTAACCTTATCTGAGAAGGTTAGATTCCTATACCTCGGGCACACCAATGAGTATAACATCCATATTTTGTTAGGATAGGTTTCATTATATGGAAATAAAACTTATAGATCTTAAAAAACAGTAAAAGTTCTACAAAAGTTATTAGTGATGTCAATTAGAACATGTAAAATTTTGCAGAGGGAGTGATATTTTTAGGTAATTATAAAGTCTGATATAAAGAAAATTATATAATAATAGTGTGTAAATATATTTGAACTTCATTTTTATTTCATTATATTTTAATCAATCTATTTATTAATAATAATAATAATAATAATAATAATATATACATTGATGAAAAAACAGATAACTTCAAAATACTACCCGTATAACAATTTGCTATGAAGACCCTTCACGACTTCACCCTTGCTCTGCATATGTAGATCCACCATTGAAAAAAAACATTTAGAGGCATAGTAGTCAATGGCTACATATGGCGCGCGCTGTATGCGCATCGCCATGAAAAAGTGGTCATCGCCATAGCGCCAAATGCTCCCTTCGTATTTGCGCCATCGCCATGCACCATGAAAAATGCCTTTGAGCCATGGCGATCGCCATGCGCCATGACAACTATGTTTAGAGGATTAGAGCGTTTCATGCTTTTCATGTTTTTTGCGTTTATGTGCCCTCACAACATCTAGGGAGACTTAAAATGGCCTTGTAAAACCTAAAATTGATAAATTACACTACCAACAAGTAGAAAAATAGGCCAAACAGTAACTAAGGAAGATGGAGAAAATCAGAACCTACAATGCAATTTATGGGACCTTTGTTCCTTGATAAAACTTTTTTGGCTTTACCCTTGGGCTGTTTCTAGTTTTGTATAGGTGTAACTATGATTAGAGAAACAAATCCAAATAGGTAATTATTCGTTTATTCCTGTTTGGAAAAAACAAGGAAAATCTTTTGGGACTAAGTATAGGATGTTGTTGTGGAGAACAAAGAAAATTTGCACCATTTGCATTTCCAACAAGAATCTAAATGGGACTAACTTATCTTTCTCATTTAGTTGATACTTTACTGTTATTTAGTATTTACCAAATTTATTAGTTCCCAATTTCCCATTAATACTATGGATTGCTCAATGTGGTCCTACTATGGGGCAGTGCTTAGAGTGCTCAAGTTCTATACTTCTATTACCACCATCCCTTTAACCGGGTGTATTCTTGCTTTTAGTTTCTGATCGTGAGTTTTCACACACTTAAAATATGTGTAAAATATGTGCTCAAGTTCTATACTTCTACTATTTGTGACTCATTTTAGTCAACGGAATTGTATAGAACCAATTACCAATTACAACACCCATAAATGCGTGTTAGAATACGGAATTATCAGTTTCTGAAATCAGAAAACAGAATTTTGAAAGTTATAAGAAAACAGACCTAGCAAACATGTTTATATTTTTTTTTTCCAGAAGTTGAAACATAATGCAAAAATATTTTAAGAAAACAAAAACATAGAAGGTATTAAAAAATACATAGATGGTTTCATTATTTAACCAAATATTGTTTAATTTCAGGTCATTGCGTACATTGGTGGCACTCTGTTCCTATTATTTGCTGTGGTAACCTTGGTAGAGATTGTGAAGTGAATACAGGTCTGCTCCGAATTTTTAAAAAAGTCAAACTGCTTACGTAGGCTGCTATAGAGCTGACAGAAGTGTAACAGAACCGAGGCCTTCCATGTGATTAAATGTTTCTTATCAGCAGAGTTTGATAAGTCTCCAAACTTTTATAGGGTTGCTCAAAACTCTGAGATAATGATTTTTTTCATATTATTTATGAGTAATGACTACACATCCTTATATATATGTGTGTGAAATAATGATAAATATTCAATTGAAAAAGTAATTGAGGCACTATGACTTTCAAGACAGTGCGAGTTTGGAATGACTATCTGTATTGATGTACAATTTTGCACTAGTGATTACGTAGCCATATTTTTTTTTGAAATAATTGCATATTTGTGACTGAAATAAACATCATTTACAAAAATATGACAATGACTAGAGTAGTAATGAAAATATAGTAACTTATGCTAAATTTTTATATTTAGATTATCACAATACTACATTGTGGTAACTATTAGTCATATTTTTGTAAATACGTTTTATTGAGAACTTTATACTTTTCTTTTTAAGATGTTCCTAAATAAGATCCTCTTATCTTATTTGATAAACAAATTCCCATCAATTTAACATATTAACCTTAAGTAATACGGATGTACAATGTCAAATTATGTCAATATAGTGTACGAAGTAATATTTACCCTCATTGGCTCATTATAAAACGCATTTCAAGAAGTTAAAGGAAAATATTGTTGCCTTAATTAAAGTGCGGGCTTATTCAAACTTAGGAAGTTTTTGTAATGGAAGGAGGGAGTATCGGTTAAATACTTTCACAAAACAAATATTATTAACACACTAATCACAATTTGCACCGTGCACATTACACAAAATGATCTTCATCATCATATCCTAATAAAGTGTGCCCTCTTAGTCTCTTAGAGCTTATTTAAATTATAATATAATAATTTATAAGGTTTCGTTTTAAAGAATTTGCTTGATGAATTGTGTCCAAAAAAAAGAATTTGCTTGAATTGATGCACGTCTTTATGGTTCTTTATTTACTTCTTTTGTTTCACGATAATTGTCATGGTGGCTAAATTTTGGTTCACATACATGGTTGTGTACGTTAGAAAACCAAGTGATAATTTAATACTAATACTCCACTTTTTGACCTTCTATCTACATAATAAGTCTCAATAAATATATTTTTCATTTTTTTCAAGAGGGATATTGATTCAGGGTATGTATTTGTTTTTCTCAAGCAGACTTCTCCACGCAGTTATCCTAATCATCAATTGATTTAGATACATCTTACAGAAAAACAAACAATTGAAGTAAGGAATAAAAAGGTTTACATTATTTCTGAGAGGGTTATTTAGTTAGGTAAGCAAAACGCTGGGTGTGGAAGTTAGGCTCACTAAAGACTGTGTTGTGGGTCTACCTTTACTTCAATTCTTTTTTACTTCTATCTTTCCAATGATATATAATGGTACCATTTATAGATATTGCTCCAAAATAGGAGTAACACATAGACATACTACACAAATAGGGGTGACATTGTTTTATTCTCAAAATAGTACTTATTTTGTTCTAATAAAAGTATAAAACTTTCTCGATTAAAAGTGAATAAGCATTTTTAAAGAAGAAAATAATGTTGACCCTATTTGTGCCCTTTGTCTATGTTTTACTCGCATTTAAGGAATTTTCTCTTCTTTTAGCGCCTCGGGTTTGAACTTTGCCATCTCGGAAAGCTTATCTACGGCATCAACCAAGTGATCAAGTCGAGCAATGAGCTGAATAAGCAAGGAGGCAAAGGTAGTAACTGACATTGTTGCATCGCTCTCTAATGTCTCCATCTGGGGATCTAAATTATCCCTTGACAGCCAAGAGTATATTCTATGGCATGGTTGTTCTGAAAGCTCATCAAGATCAGATAATGAGGTCTGAGATATTTGTTGATCCTGCTTTGATGAGATAATGAGAAGATATATATGATTTTCTATTGCTTTTTGTAGTCTTTTAGTCGAGGTATGAACCATGGCTAAATGGCAACCTTTGAAACTTTGTTGCATGTCTGATATATCTTTTCCCAAAACACGAACAACCTCTATAGCATAGGTTGCTGCTTCTAGAATCTCTTTGCGGAATGTTGTCCTTACACTATATGGAGCCTGCATTCACATGCAAATGAAGAACTCTAAGTGTCAGAATGTCAGATGTTCTTCAAAACATCATTATGGAATTGAAATTGTCCAAAGTAGGAGTAAAACATCATTAAATCTCTACAATGGTATTAAGTGTGTTTTTTTCCCAAAAAGGACTTAATTTGCCCTATTAAAAGAATTAAAAAATAAAAAGTTTTACTATGTAGATAGGCCGGAGTTCATTAGTCAAAATTTGGGTAGAAAACAATGAAACATATATTTGATTTTTACTCTATATAATTCGTCATGTTGTACTCCTTTAAGGAATTTTTTTATTCAATACGCATTATTAAAGCCATGCAAGGCACCCCTACTTTATCCTCATTCACATGTAATTTCTTAAGAACTACAATTTCTTGAATTTCTTTTTTGATTCTCATTTTGATCGAGTTAAAAGTTGCGAATTTCATTTGATGCTACATTATGAGACTTGCACTTTTTACGTTGCTTCCTTCGTGCCAAAGAGACATCTTCTATGTAGTTATAACTTCAGTGAAGGAAAGTTCAGATATAGATTTCTGATATATAACTAACTAGAGAACTTATGCATATGGGTATGAGTAGACTATGTTAATAATGCATGCGGTGTGTGGGAAAAAGGCTTCCGACCCTAAAAACAACATGATAACGATTACCATACACGCCAAATAGCATTAAGTTAGGATATAAAACTTTAATTTTTGGCGTAAGTTCGGAAAGTGTCCATCTTTTTTCATACTTGTAGTAATGTTTCCAATAAGTATTTGTTCAAAATAAGACATAGAGTTATGATAATAAAAAATATCTATATATTTGGTCATAAATAAGTACTTGGTGATGCATGACATGATATGGCCATATGATTACAGTGTCATTAACATCTATATATTTGGTCATAAGTATAAGTAAATAGTATTTACTTAAACTTTGAGTGTTCAAACTAACATTAAAAATAATTTTTCAAATGATAGTATTAATTTATGCAAGAATTATTCAAATGTATCATTTTCAATAAAAAACTACAAAACGGCTAATAAACTATGGACATATTTTTCTAATAAAAAAATACTAAATTGTCAATAAATTTAGAACCCGTTTGGTGAACCCCTTTTTCGGCTTATAAGTCAGCCTTTTCACCAAACATGTAACTTTTGGTTTCACGCGCCGAATTGTGTAATAAGCAGAAAAAGTAATGTTGGGGTTACTTTTATTACCTGAAGTTACTGTAGATGATCATTTTTCATAGAATTTTTTATTTTATTTATTAATAACAAATATTTTAAATATAATTTTTTCATTAATCAGCCAATACAGCCACTTCAGCCAGAAGTTCATAAATTTCAGCAGAATCAGTCAATTCAACCAACTTTAGTGTTACCAAACAGGCTTTAAATTAATACACCATTTTACTTTTCCTACTATTTTTAGAAAGATTAAATTTCATTGCTATTGATAATCAAGAATATATTTCTCTCAAATGAGGCGTCCATTGAACCACTATGCTCCAAAAAAGACAGCTCACCAATCTTCAAAACGACACAAATATTTTGTCAAAATGCAGTAAATGTCCTAGTTCTAGTTATTGATTTTTGAAAATTGAGGGTGTTCGAATAAACACCCTTCAACAGCACCAGGTCCGCCATTGGTAAACACTGTTTGGTCATCTCTTTTGTATGTTGATAATGACATGATCGATATGGTCGTATGGTTTTCCAGATGAAAATATTTTACTCTTATTTAAATATAAAAATATACACCGTAATACTCTTATTTAGCGAAAACATCTTGTTATTATTCACAAGATGTTTAAATCAGGGAGAATTTAACTTTGCATCCCATTTTTTGGATGATATTTGATTTTGCCCCATATTTTCAAAATCATTAATGTATGCACTCAAAATCACTATAAAATCATTTCATTTTGCAGTCCACTCATTCACAACTTTTGGGTTAATGGGGCACACACGTAATGATTTTGAAAATAGGATGTAAACTCCAATATCACTTAAACACATGAAGTGCAAAGTCTAAAATAACGCAAAAACAAAATTTAACGGGAAAAATCATGTATGGTCAAAGAAAAATAGCCATGTGTCAAATATTGACAAAGTCAAACTTTGGACATAATGTGACTGGGTCCGTTTGGAAAATTTTGGGCAAAATTGAGAGCAAAGAGATCGGTTTAAATCTTATTTTCATTAATTTAATATTATACGGAGTATGTTTTTTTTTCTAAAGTAGTACTCAAAGTAAATTTATAGATAAAAATATGATGAAAGTTATTATGAAGGTAATATCACGACCATTATAATGTAAAGTTTTTATTTTTGGAGGAAATATAATGTAAAGTTGAATATAGTTATAATAAATAAAGGTTAGTAATATAGGGAGATTTGACCGTGCACCTCACTTTTTGGGATATATTGGAGTTTGCATTCCATTTTCAAAAAAAATTGCACCCTATTCCACCTAAAAGTCTTTTGACTTTGCATCCCATTCAAAAAAAAATCTTCACAAAGTGTATGTGTTTGGGTGCAAAATAAAATATTTTTCAAAATACGGTGCAAATTCCAATATCACCCAAAAAATGGGGTGCAAAGTCAAATCGCACCATTAATATATTTGCTATTACTTAGAGCTTGTTTGTCATTTGACTACCTTCCTGATTGAAGTTTTAGCTGAAATTTGGTATGAGTAAACTAGACTTGATGAATAAGATGCTCAAAACATTTCATCAAAAATTCCATCGGGAACCGCCCCAAGTGCCAACGGCCGGACAGAACCTCCTATAAAAGGGGTGATTTGAACTTTTTATGTAAGTTCGAGGGTTTATCTGACTCTTTTTCCTAGGAATAATGACTAGGCAGCCATATAATGGGAAAGATGTTGTTTTAGTAAGGGCATCCACATCCATAGATTATTTTTGGGATCATTTTGATATGATGATGTGGAAGATTTTTTTGGGATCATGGATGAGGAGTTGAAATTATTTTATGAGATTATTTGATAAAATAATCTGGTATCAAATTCTAAAGCTGAATTATTTTGAGATTATTTCTAACTTTTAGAGTTCTATCTCCATTTTCTAGGCATATACTCATAATTAAGGTGATGACTAGCTTTGTAGAGATTTTGAAATTGAGTACATGTCTCATAAAAAATCTAGGTAA